CATCTTTAGTACTAATGATTCACATTTTCACATCATGTTTATAACTATCTAGTCATGGCCTCTTTCAATGATTTCTAATGACATTATTAACGTTTTATGATCAATTAATATTGCTTTACATTATTATTCTCAATGATCATAAAGCACAATATTGATTTTCAACATCTTGGGTACTTGTGACATAGTGCACTTGTGTGATTCAGTCAAACAAACATTGTCAAGAAAAATATTAGCCCAAGCAAACCAACATTCACGCCTCAACACCAAACTTTTAATAACATTACAATAAATAATTGATAATGAAAAGTATTTCGTTGAAAATAAACACAAAACATCTATAATAATGTCCGACTTCAACATTATAAAATGACATCAAGCTTTTAATAAAGATATTAAAAACCATTAATAACAAATGAGCAAGTCACTGATAAGGAAATATATTTTTGTAATAAAAAATATTAATAATATTCAAATTAATTGTTTAATATAAAATAACACTAAAAACACATTAATAACTAACGTGTGTTTAGTTGTTAGTGCAATAAAAAACTTTGATAATGATAGCAACTAATAATTGTTAAGTACCTTACTATATATTATTAATATCTTATTTTTTCAAACATTGATAATGTTTATACACATCCATTAATAATGACACCAACTACGTTACTAACTTAGCCTGAAAGATTAATAACCATAGTTATATCATTAAACACAAATTCACTTTTGCTAATGTCATAAACAAACGAATACCTAACAAGTATGCTTCTTGATAAATTGATAATGACATTTGACAAAGTTACAAACATACACGAAAAAATGTTAATAATACAAATCAATGAAATAAATTGTTGCTAATGGTTGTATTATGCTTGCAAAAAACATTGATAATAGCACTTCAAATGATTATAAATCATTGCGAACCAAATTGATATACTATGTAATAGTAAATGAACTTTAAGTACCAACAAATTGAAAACACAATTTCACTTTTGCTAATGTTACACACAAAACAAAACATAAAAAGTTAATAATGTAATATAAAATTATTAAAAAAACCCGTTGAACAACATTAATAATAACACAAATGAATACCTTAAAACGAAAAATCCTAAACCATGCAACGAAAAGCCCTAATGATGATTCAATTTATAAATATTGATAATGTCATTACAAAATATTGATACTAAATTGCAGGCTGCCAAGATGTGAGAGAGACCATATATTTGAAATTTTAAATTTCCATTTCTGAAAAGGAAAATTATAAAATTCGGATTTCATTAAATATTAAATAAAATTAATTTTGTATTTTTTTATTATAATGTAGAGAGATAGTTATGGAGAAAATCATGGGAGGAGAGAGAAAGAGAATAATTAATTAATAATATTAATTATATTTGTATAATCTCATTTACTCTTAACTACCTATTAACTACTAACCCCTTTTAACTACCTAATCCACTATCAACTAATAAGAAGGCTTTAAAATTCTCCTTAAAAAATAAGACTTAAAGGACTTGAACTCAAGCCATGAGCTTCACCTTTCTCTCCCTCCAACTTCCCCTGAGCTTCCCTAATCTCTCTCTTCCTCCAACCTAGCCGCCGGTTTTCTCCCTCCATAGCTTCCCCACCAACCTTGTAACAAAGTCATAAATCAAAGCCACCATCTACGCTGGAGAGTATCCACAGCTTCTTCATAGCTTCCCCATCGATCTCCCCCAAACTCTTCTTCTCTCTTTCAAAGCCAACCATGAACCCCACCCCACCCTTCCTAGACGATCTCTTTCTCACCCTCCCTCTTCCTTTCTTGCTTCTTAGAATCATCACACACAAATCTGCACTACAGCGACACCGTCGCTGCCAACCCTCACGCCCCACCCAACAGCTCCGTCGCAGATTAGAAGTGCCGGTCTGGTAGGATACCGGATCTAGAAGTCAGCGTACTTGCAAATGACGCCGACGAACTCAGTGAATCCTAATATCTCTGTTCCAACTTCAATTAAGAAGTCGTAGAAGAAAGAGAAGAGCGGTGGTAGTCCGGAGCTGAAGAAGGTCGTCGATTTGTAGATACAGACCATTCGAATCTCGTCGCCGATGTAGCAGGGGAAGCTTTCCTAGCTACCACCTACCACCCCGGCCGCCCCCGATACCTCATTCACTGACCGCAAATCCAAAAGGGGGAGTCTATGTGTTGTGTGAGTCGATCAGAGGGAGTACGATGGTCTTTGCGGTTTTTACCCCATTTTTTTCATTCCCAAATCCAAAAGGAAACAGAGGATCGCTGGCGGCTAGGTTGGAGGAAGCTGGTGTGGGAAGGGATGATGCTGCAAAATGGAGAAAAGGGGAAAGAGTAGTATATTTGTGTAATTATAAATTATTTAAGCAAAATAATATATTTTTAAGGCAAGATAGGATCGGGGAGTTAAAGTAATTTTTAATTATTTTGTGTGTAATTATTAAATATATTTAATATATGACGTGTCATTTTCTGCTTATTTGGCGCTAACGTGTAAATTGAGTAGGCGCCTAGTCAGCGACCCATCAAAAAGTTGACGGTGTTACTAACACGGTTAAATTATCTAACGGAAATGGCTATATTTGTCCTTAAACAACTAAAAATCTGGCTATTAGTGGTATTTCTTCAAATTTGACTATTATTGGCACAAACGCGAAAGTTTTAGCTATACAAGTGTATATTGCCTAATAATTATACATACGTTATAGTCCTCCAACAATTTAAACCATTAATTTTACTATTAAAGTACCTTTTCTCATGCCTATGTAGGTTTAAGTACCCATATTTTGTTAAAACTCTGTCTATTGAAACTCTTTTCGGATTGAATTTTATTTTCTTCTTCGTTTCTGCAAATTGAATAAACAATAACATAAAAGATATGTGGAATTAAATTGAATCACAATCTCATCGGACAAACAAAAAGGTTCTTCGTTGTTTCAAAAAAGAAAAACAAGCTTCTTCTTCCCTCGTTCAAATCGAAGAAACAACAACACAGTAACAAACGAACTGGAAAAAAAACCTATTCCCACTAGCTTATAAATCGGCCCGTTGGCTGGAATGTTCATATTTGATTATTTATAATTTTATGTTAAGTTTAAGTCTATCAACCTGTTTAATTTTTTTATTTATAATCTTTCGAATGAGATGATACATAAAGAAATAATATATAGGTTGAACACTCGAAGAAATACCATCATCTTTTAAGAATATAAAATATAAAAATGTATCATTGATTTCATTTTCATTTTCATAATGATAATATTATATTGGTTAGTTAATTGTCAAGAAAGATAGAATATAAAAGCTCACTGGAATTACCACAAGGCTCATATATAGTTTGAAACTGAATCTAAAACCTCACAATCCTACATAAAGGCTTCAATGCTCTTCTTTGAGGAACAACATGCCACTAATAAAAAAGAAATTGAGAGTTGTTGGTTCAAGTCAACTATATACTACAAACTAAACTAAGAGGGAACCATCAAAACTTGAGAGCAAACGACAAAATTAGGGTTATCTCCAATATACTAATAGACTTGATCAAAGTCATAAGACACAAAATTAGACACTTCTTTTCTATAAGTTTCAGTAGGTTGAATAAAGAATCGACCTAATTCAGTAAATCAATGATTTCTCGTTTAACATATAAATAGGTTGTGGTAGCTGCAAAAACCATAAACCTACCAATAGCTACCACTCTCCGTTGAACGAACAAATTTTTATCCACTCTATCTTTAATCTCAAGAGGCATATGTTTCAACCAAACAACTTCATTTCCACGGGGAACTTGTAATAAGTTCGCTAAAACCAACACTCATCTCCAATTCCATCAATATGTTCATCTCCCCCTTGACTGCCTTCGCCTGCTTTAGTCCACTTCCATGCCCTTCAATAACCTCTCCATTTTCATTATTATCCTCATCATTTGTCACTTCTCTCTCTTTAACTGCTCCAGTTTCTCTTCCATGTCTTTCAACACCCACCTCAATTCATTCACTACCCTCTCCAACTCCCTCTTCTCTGCCTTCAACTGTTGTAGTGGAACTTTACCTGCTACCAAATCCAAACACAATTTCTCTCCCTCCCCCCACCACTTCCATTCTCAAACTCAATTCCAACTTTTCAACTCCAAGTTTAAATTCATAACTACTTGATTGAACTCCATTCTATTCGCCACGGATTTGAAATTTTCTATTTGCCTAGCTTAAATCCCAAAAATAAAATTGCCGTGCCAAGAGAAACCGGAAGATTAATTTTCAAATGTGTTCTTGTACTGGGAAGTGAAAGGGCCAAATTATTGCACGATTGAGGGACTTTCGGAGGAAGTTATAAAGAGATAAGAACAAAGATAAAAAAAAAGCACAAAATTTAATTTTAAATTGAAAAATACAATGACACAACACGTAGTAAAAGAAATAGTTTCTTCCATGTTAGCTAATTACAAATTTACCTAAGCAAAAATTAAGGAGAGCATGAATTTTAAAATGGATAAAATTACATGAAACTCTACTATGCAAATTGAAGTATTAAGCACCATAAAAATAAATATGGTAGACTTAGTGGGCTTGTTGATCATGATGTAAAAGTCATTAACTTTCCAGAGGTTAGTGTATGTTTTGTATCAAATAGAAACAACAAATTTGTTTAGTGTAGTTGGTTATGATTGTTGTCCTTGTTTGAAGAGACATGGGTTCAAATCTTGATATTGATATTTTTTATTTGAAATAAATAAATAATTGTAAGAAAAAAAATGTCCTTCCTACTTTCACTCTCGTTACAGAAAATTTGAAATGGAGAAAATTACACAAAACTCTACCATATATTAATGGGGGATATTTCCAACATACAATTAAATTCTAGAAAACACAGTAGCTTGTTCGAATCATCCCATCTACCCTAAACCCAATATCATCGTTCAGAAAAGCTTCCAGCAACCACCACCAACAGGTGACCCCCTACCTGAAAAAGGTTAGCTTCTCGCAAAATGAATTTTCTCTCTCCTAAAACACTCCCCCAAAATCTCTCATCTTCAGATTATCCAGCTGCCGACATCAGAGCATTCAATCCTCAAGCCAGTAGGCACAACTATCCAGGAAGAAGCAGGAGAGCCAGAAATGCACTCAATGGAGGAGTTATCATCGCTGGAGCACGCTACGCCATCGACGCACTTGCTTGGGTCCAACTGAAGCATCTATCCCACACTCACATATCTCATTATAACACTGGTGAGCCACCGCCTAGACCACCTGAAGCAAGATACACACAACAGAGATACCGTAATAAGGAACAGAAGGAGTTATTGAAGGAAGAGGACTTAAGGAAGTATAAAGTCAGAGAGCAGAAACCCCTGGAAAGTGAAGATCCACCCAAAAATAAATACCACAAGAAGCATAAGGAGGATACAGGGGCAGAGACTACAACAATGATTACTGAATCCCACTCACATTATGAGAACCAAATCTTTATCACAGGAGATCAAGGGAGGGAGTAAATGCCCTGGTCACGGCTGCAAGATCTCCATCCACTATCGCAAGCCAAGATGAGTTAATACCCTAAGAAGGTTGTTTAATGTGCAGGGAAATAGCCTCCATTTTTGGCCACTAAGAGGGAGGATGAGCAGAGGTCTTCAAGTTCCAGAGGAGAAGCACCCAAATCTGACTCTGACCAAGGTTTTGAATGTTGAGGAACCAAGTATTCACCTGACCAAGGCTTTCAATGTTGAGGAACCATGTATCCACCAGGGGGAGAGAGGGAAACTTATCTATTTAAAGACAGACCAGCTAGAAAGAACAGAGCACCAAAAACAATCCCACATCCCACTATAACAAGGAAAACATCCCGAGCATCCTGTCTCACTCGAAATCACACTCACACCCTGGTTTTTCAAACACAAAAGAGAGGTTACAAATGGAACTCAACCCAGGAAATTTGAGAGGAGAGAAAAGCCACCTGGTTCTCAATGTTAGGCCAACAGTGGTGGGAGCTAGGGGCACCGGCATGTCGATGCTTCTAGGCAGGTAGATAACAGATGCCAACATCAGTCTGCAAAAAGCCAAGAATGCGGCGATTAGCAAATGGAGGGCATATGGTGACATCCAGGTATCCAAGGAGGCTGACAATATCTTTGTCTACTCCTTCTACTCACAGAAGGAGAGGGATGCAGTCTGGGATTCGAGGCCATGGACACTGGGCAACTGCATAGTAGCACTGAGAAAATGGGATGGAGAAGAGAAAGCGGGGGCTGAAGACATCTCTACCACCACACTCTGGGTCCAAATGCATGACCTACCTCAATCCCTAAAAGAGCAAGAGGCCATCCAGGCTATTGCAGAATACATATTTCCCCATTTCCACTGTATCGACCGTTCCAACATTGACTACAGAGGGTGGCTGAAGTTCATCAGAGTCAAGGTAGAGGTTCAACTGAACAACCCCATTCCGATCGGATTTTGATAACATCGTATTTGCACATGTTTGCACCCTCGTTTCTTGATCATTATGGCTTGAGTTTTTTCTTTCTTGGACTATTTTACGCTAGGTTGTGTTCCTTTGTCACATTTCAGGTCTTAGCATGTAAATTGAAGCATAGGCGCAAGTTTCAAGTCAATCGGAATTCATTTGGCAATTCGGGAGAAGAAACACGAGCATGACTTGAGGAATAATGGACTTCTACCTAATATTATGGACAAATAATCATGGAATTTTTTCATGAAAAGAAAGAGGACGAGACTACGAGCGTCTGGGATCAAACTGCGACTGATTCGGAGTGCGGACGAGGGAGAAACAAAGCATTAAAAAGGAGCGGAGGAAGAATTACGGGCATCCCCTGCCCAATTACGGTCGTAATTGCTTCTGCCCTGGCCGTAAATGCAGTGTCGAGCCAAATCCCTGAGAATGCCTTCGAAGATCAAATTACGGGCAAGAGTGGACTTATTTACGGTCGTAATTGCACAAATACTGGCAATAATTGGGTAATTACGACCGTAATTCCCTTCCTTAGAGTTAAGTGAAACACGCATTTTTGGGTGAAATACGGGCACACCATGATTACGACCGTAATTCAGCCCGTATTTCGCCCAGAATCGGGTTTTTTATGCAGATTCGAGCAAAAGGAGAGAGAATCGACTTTTGGAGCTAAAACAGAGTTTTAGAGAGAGAAAGTGCGAAGAACAAACCCTAGGAGTTATTTGGAGTGGATTTCTCACCATTGAAGCCCAGATTGCATCTCCAGGAGTGAAGATTGACATCCCAGAGTATATTCTTCCCATTGTTATGAGTATGACTGCTTTGTATTTTGTTTCCCTCTCTCTCTCTATGGAGTAGAAGTTTCTCTCACTTGGGTATGAAGAACCCTAGTTCCATGTGTTAGGGATCTTGATTGTAATGACTTGGGATTGTTATATTGTTTGGTTTTAATCGATTGATGCATGATTCATTGATTCAATTGAAGTCTGATCATCTTTTCTTGATTTATGCTGCAACCTGAGATAGATAAAATCTGATTAGGTTCTTAGAGCTTCATCAAACGGTAGTGGTAGATTGGTTATACGAGAGTTAATCAATCTAATGCTTTGTACTGGAACCCAATTCCAGTAGTGGAGTTCTGTGCTTATTGCCTCAGCAGTCTATCCCGCTGAAGGTTAGTCGCCTGCCGGTTAGCCTGCCTGAGAGGGCTTGGTCAGCTTAAGAGATTCCAAGCTACTGTCGGATCTTCCGCAGTTTAATCAACAGTTAATCAACCCAAAGTAATTATAACTGAGACCTAATTAAGGAGCTAGGGGGACTCATTCCCGAGTGACTCTTCCTTTGCTTTAGAAAACCGAACCATTTCCTGCTTTCTTACTACTTTTACTTAAATCAACAATCACTCAACTTAGTTTGCTAGATAACAGATATACACGGAGTAGGCAGTAGATCTAGACCCCGGGTTGACAATTAGAGCTTGCCTGTTACTGCATTTCTGGACTGCGATTACACTTGGTCGCAGTTTGGTGTTGTGTTTTATCGTGTCAGGTTTGAATACCCTATGGGGGAAAGGTCCATCTGGGTAAGCTTTCAAATACGAGAGGATCATAGATCTATGTTATTTCCGTGGCAAGCTCGGCCATCTCATACAAAACTTTCTAGAGAGAGGATAACAGAAGAAGGGGTTTGAGCACTGACCCATCGAAAGTCTACACGGCGGCGCTCAAGGCCGCCCACGAATCACCGGAAAATACCCCACCTGCCTCTTTCCGGGAGAAAATGGCTAGAACATGCCGACTGACATAGGCGGGCCCACCTACCCTTCTCATTGGGGTCCCACTTGCTGAGCATCCCTAGATGGCACTGGTGTGGAGTACAGAGTAGGGATCGTCATCCTGCCCCCCCCCCCCTCCGGGGTTCTCTCGTCTTGGAGTAGAGGAAGCACGAATTTCAACGGGTCCTCAATGGATCCAGAGAGGAACTGACAAAGCACTGGTTTTTTACTGCCAACCAGCAATTATGGAAGAGGCAATGGAGGTGGAGGCCACAGCAATGCAAAGGTCTCTTAACCTGGCTGGTTGAAATGAGCCATACCCTTTCACTTGGAAGCCCAAAAGAAACCCATACTGCCCCAAAGCCAACCCAAGAAATACAACACCAGCCGATCAACCAGCTGAGCCCACACACGCAAGACCCACACCATTGGAATGAAGCTGAAACGTTGAGTCTGGAAGGAGGAAGCAGGCCACGACCCAAAAAAGAAGAGGAAACCTAATAGCAGGCACTCACCTTGTGATTCGGCGCCTCAACAGATAGCTCCTACTAATTTATCTATTGATTCCCTGTCTTTCAATTTAGGCGGAAACACCAGCAACAGGACTAGGAAGAAGCATACAATCAGATGGTGGAGCATAGCCGAGATCACGTCAGATGAAAATCAATCAGGGGAGGGCGAATCAGCAACCCCGAGGGCGGCGGTGGCAAGCCTCAAGCCACCTATCCAAGAATGAGGATAATGAGCTAGAATTGTAGAGGATTTGGCCAGCCTCTTACAAGACGGTACTATGGAAGGTTCTGTCGGAAGTTTGGCCCTTCGGTACTTTTTCTCATGGAGACAAAAAAAAGATGATAATTTCCTTGAAAATAAAAGAAGAGCGCTGAAGTTTGACCACTTAGAGTATGTAAGCCCTGCAGTAGAAGGTAGCGGCTTAGCACTTTGGTGGAAGAATGATGTGGAAGTTTCTGTGATTGATTCCTGTAAGTCCTTCATGGACGTTAGCATTAGTAGGGATGGTGTAGCTTTCTTTTGTACTTTCATCCACGCTCCTACCACGGTGGTAGAGAGAAGGACCCTATGGGATCGACTTACGAACCTGAGGAATAGCCCAGATGAGAGTTGGCTTGTGGTGGGCGATCTGAATATGGCCCTTTTCCCTTTTGAGAAGCAGGGGCGATGCCCACTGAGTAAAGAAAATGCTTCTCCTTTTCAAGTACTTTATCGCCCGGAACGCACTCTTGGATCTTGGATTCAATGGCCAGCCTTTCACCTGGACTAATAAACAACAAGGGGCCAATCTGATCAGAGAGAGGCTTGATAGAGCATTGTGCTCCACGACGCGGAGAATGACTTTTGATTCGGCGGCTGTTTTCCATGAAGAGTATGTGGAGTCGGATCACTGCCCGATCCGAATTGATTTTCACCCAAGAAGACTTAGAACTCGAACTCCATTCCGGTATGACAAAAAATGGAGGGATAGTACTGAATGCAACCATATCATTAATAATGTCTGGAGCAGAGGGGGACTGGTGAGAAATATGCTTTGTGAATGTCAGGCGGAACTACAGAATTGGGCGCGTATGGATAAACAACAACAGCTGACAAGGGAAAATGAAATTAAAGAGAGAATCGAAGAAATCCAAGGCCCCAACAGAAGCTTGGAAATTATCACAGAGGAGCATACCTTACTGCAGGATTTAGAAGTAATGTGAAGGCTTGAAGAAGAGTTCTGGGCGCAGTGGTCCAGGAAAAAATGGTTGTTGGAAGGTGATCAAAATACTAGTTATTTCCATGCTAGCACGATCAGACGTAAGAACATTAACAAAATTCTGACACTCAAAGACACTGATGGCAACTGGATTGATGAGGAGCAAGAGTTGGGTAATCATGTTTTGAATTTCTATAGGGCATTATTTACAAGCAGAGGGGCACTCTTGATAGATCTATTCTGGATGACTTCCCACCCCTTGTCAGCATTACCACAAACTAAACGCTTGTTTCCCAAGTGGATAATATGGAGATCAGGAAGGTTGTGTTTGATCTGGGAGCTAGTAAGGCCCCGGGACCGAATGGGTTCCCAGGATTGTTCTTCCGAAAGTATTGGAATGTTATTGGGGATTCTTTCTGTGATGAGATTTGTAAGTTCTTCCGGACAGGGGCTATGCCAGAGGGATGGAATAATACTTTCATCACCCTCATTCCCAAAGTTGAGGTACCGGAAAGCATTGGACAGTATCGCTCGATTAGCT